TGCGCCAGCCGGAACCGCGCGCGCCATTTAGCCGTTTACGCCTGCCTGGGAGGGCGACGCGTCGAGCGTTCAAAGGCCGTCTCCCCACCGCCGGAAAATAGAAATAGAAGCGCAATAAAGACCGGAAGAAGAAAGAAGAAAGAGCAAAGAACTTCAAGAAGGGAAAGAAACGCACGTGGTGTATCTACACAAAAAAAGAGAGAGGGAAGGTCAGCGAGCGTACGGTGGACGAGATACGAGAGGAAGTGAGAAAGAAGCCGAAAAAATGAGAGAATAATAAGAAAGTGAGAGAACGGTTTTGGAATAAGAATAATGAGACGCGAGGAATGGTACCCAGTTTCGTTCCTCGAGGTAAGTAGGGTTTGGGGGAGGGGTTTTGGGGAGGTGCACTGGCGAGTGAAGAGGATCAAGGGAAAAACACGAAAGCAAGAAATACGCAAGAATGCATCGCGGGAGAAGCCCAGCCTTTCTACCTAGCCTTCCCTCGTTGCAGCCCGAGTACTCCGAGACGATCCGCCACAGCCCCGGATCCCGCCTAGACCTCAGGCCTCATCTCGAAATGTAGGACTCGGTGGAGGGCGAAACAAAAACAAAAACACAAACACCAAACACCAAAAACAAGCGGCGCCGCACGCAGGACTCACAGCGCACTGCAACTGCAACTGCAATGACGTCCATCCACCCACCCATCCACTTCCACCACCGGAAGGAAACGGAAACTCGAGGTGGAGGACAAGAACGAGAACGAAACGAAACGCAGACGGAGAGATAAGCAAACACAAAGAGATAAAGACAGAGAGTCTCCAAATGAGAAGAAGCGAAGCGTCCGTTCATTCATTCATTCGTTTATTGAATGAATGAATAACGAGAAGACAGGCATCAAATCGCGGGTGGGTGAGTCACCTCGCGTCCTTCGACGTCGAGGGTGGGACGCGACGCTAAGCTAGGCGATGCTGGGACGTGGCGACGTGACGCTTGGCGATGCTGGGACATGTCGCATAACGACGGCGACGGGGGGAGAGGAGAGGGTGAATGGAAGTGGACCCAACCCCAGACCCCAGACCCCGCACCCCGTACCCCGCATGCCCAACAAAGGCCCAAACGACGCGACGACGCGACGACGCGACGGCGCCAAAACGAAAAGAAAAGAAAGAGTAGGATACGAACGCAAGAACGCATCGCGATACCGAGGAACCACCAACTCGCGCAGAGTCACTGGCCACTGGCCGAGGGGCGGTGTCAAAGCGCCCTGGTGAGTCACCTCGACGTCGACGGCGACGCGACGCGACGGAGGATGAATGGAAAACAGAATCGGAATGCGCCCACGCGGGTTCGCGTTCGCAGCGACCTCGACTTCCCGGGATGGACACGGAGCGCAAAAATGGCGCACCGCGTCCGTCCTTCGACGTCGAGGGTGCGAGGCGATGCTGGGACACGCCGCACAACGACGGGAGGGAAAGAGGAGGATAGGAACGCAGGGGCAGTCCGAGTCGAGCGGCGCGATACACCGAGTGCCCACCAACTCGTGCGCGCGCGGTGTCAAAGCGCCCTGAGCGGGTGAGTCACCTCGGCGTCGACGCGAAGGCGACGCGACGACGGAGAGGATGAATGGAAGTGGAAGTAGACCCCGCACCCCGCACGCGAGCCAACGCCGGCCTCGCATGGGTGGGAAGGGATGGGACGGGACCGCGAAAATGGCGGTGCGTCCAGGAGCCGACTCGATTTTCGCGCCAACCGCCAACCGCCAACCGCCATGCTACCCACCGCGAGCACACAGGTCCAAATAAAGAAAGAAGAAAATAAACACCGAACGCCCAAAGAACGCCAAAAAGGGACGCCAACAAAAACAAGCAAGAACGCCAAAAGAAAAAAACGAAAGGAAGGAAATAGCACTCACGCGCCGGCGCCGGTTCTACACAAACAAAAAAGATAAAGAGGTGGTTAGTACCGCGTTTGGGTCATGAAGGAAAGGAATGAAATGAAAGAGCGGACGACGCGACGACGAGCGGGGCCCAGGAAATGGAGGGACACGGACACGGACACGGACACGGATGCAGGCACGCTGCCCGAGCCCGCCCCGCCGCCCGAGAGCTCTCAGGCGCACAACCCCATCACGGAGCGGGAGCGCACACCCCCCGCCATCCATCACGGATCCACGCCGTCGCGCCCACCGTCCCGTCGCGCCCACCGTCCGGGATCCGCGCCCGCCACGAGATGCTTGCCTCCCGAACTCAAAACGGCGGGTACGCATCTTATCTAGGCCCGCACTGGCCCAGTCCAACCCGGGGTAGGTAGGTACGGGTACGGGGCGATGCAAGACGCGGCCCGGAACACGGTGCGTGCGTAGATACGATGCGGAGGAAGGTGAAGCGGGAAGCAATACGAAGATGGGCGAAGGCGAAGGACGATAAAACGAGAAAGAAAGGGAGACTCACGTAGTGGTTCGGCTGTTAAGAAACGAACGAGTGGTGGTCAGTACATCGTCCAGGTTAATGATAAGGAAAACGAAAGAAGAAGACAGGAAAGACGAAAGACGGAGGGAGGGAATGCAATATGAGAGGATCTGTCTCCCGCGACAAGTCGAATGAGTCCCCGGGAACGCTCTGCGCACGGTCGTCGTCGCGAAGAGACGAATCGTGGTACTCGCACCGAGTGGCGCCAGCCCACCCGCGGGCCCTCGTATCCCTCCACCGAAGCGCCCCGCAGCCGATATCGACGGAAGCGGACGCGGACGCGGACGGGAGCGCAGAAGGCGCAGCCGAGCGAGGTGGGGAACCGAGATCATGGGATGGGGGACGATGGATGCGGGGACGTCTGCCGTGCCAGGGTAGAGGAAGACGAGAGATGCATGCGCGAATTGACGCCGATGATGAATCGATGCGCGCGCACCATGGAAGGAAGGAAAGACAGAACGCACGAACTCACCTCTCGCCCAAGGCAACTCGCTCTCCTCGTCGTCGTCCCCGTCCTCCGCGCCCTCTTCACCCTCCACGATAACGCCCCCTCCATTCATTCCATTCACCCCGTTACCATTCCCATTCCCATTCGCGGAACGAGGCGCCCCCCACCCGCCCTCCCCCTCGAAATCAATCCCCAGGCGCTCCTCGCCAATATCAACGCTCAGACTCAGACTCGGGGGCGCGCGCGCGGCGACCTGCGCCTGGTACGCCTGCGCGGGCGTCAAACCCTGTGCGTCCGCGGCAGGGGGGTACGCTGCCGGTGGCGGCGCTGGCGTGTGCGCATATTGTCCGTGTTGTCCGTGTGCGTATTGAGCTTGTGGGGGAGGCAGGTGCGACTGCGACGCATGAGGCGCATAGACAGGCCCGGCACCAGGCGGCGGAGGGTGCATCGCCATGGAGCGGACACTGGGCGCGCGCAGCGAGGGGGTGCTTCCGCCATACTGCTGGTACCCACCCCTTGCAGGGTAGCCATACGCCGGTGGGGGAGCGGGTGCGTACTGCTGGTACTGGGGATGATACTGCTGCTGCTGTTGGGGATACACTTGTTGTTGTTGGTGATACTGCTGGGGCGGGCGTTGGGCGTGGGGCGGGGGTGCGTGGGTTTGTGGTCGTCGGCCGAAGATGTCCTCGTAGGCGGCATGGCGCTCGGGGGGCTGGCTGCGGGGGCCCAGTGGGCGGTCCATTGGGACCAAGGTGGGGAGCACAGAGTCCGGTTACGTGATTAGACGCCGCAAGAGTGCGTCACAACAACTTCACCCTGGACTCTACTACAAACAGCAACTTGGACAGCTGGACAACGTAGCTGACTATCGGCCACTGAAGCATACTCACGATATTTCCCGACACTCCGATACCGTCCATCCAGCTGAAATTCGATAATGACATCCGCGGTTTTACTCAGCGGTGCATCAGTGGTGTAGTGGTATCCCGCTTCGTTCATCATCCACACTCCCGCTTCAAGTTCGGTTCATTCAAATTCCTGGCTTAATAACGCTCGTCGGCCAGCAATTAGTCAACTCCGTCACTGCCGAATTGACCTCGGGCACGCCTAGATGCGTTGTCTCGGCGGGCCTTGGTCCACCGTCCACCGTTCCATATTATCGACGCGATCGCCAAAGCGTCTACTAGTACGCCTCTATCCTTTACCCAAATTCCTACGCCTGCGAACCCGACGAACCCAGCGCACAACTGGTCCATCCTTCCGCGCATCAGTGGTGTAGTGGGCCCTGGCGGCCTTCATGCTCGTGGCGTACCTTCCCGGCCTTAATCCGTCCTCCATCTCCACCGTCCAACTCGTTCGACGCATCTGCACCGTCCAAGTCGTTCGACATCTTCCAGTGACCGAGCGCGCCTTTTTCAAGTGCACATCGACCTCCTCCCGCTCTCGGCCTCGCGCAGTGACTTGCTATAGTAGACTTTGCTCGTCGTTCATGATCCCAACCTGCTTGCGTCCCTGACTCGCGCTCAACGACATCGCACACACACCGGCAGCAATGAATGAATTCCGCCGCTAGGCCTTAGTCCTGGTGCGTCGCCGGGTAGTACATCCCCGTCCAACGTCCAACTCCTCTCGCCATCCTTATCCCGGCGCATCGTTAACTGCTGCTCCTCTACCCAACCATGTGCACCTAGCGCGCAATTCTCGACGCGTCAAGTCCACGCCCCCTATCGGCCTTAGCACATTTTGTCTACTCCTACCCGTCCATCCCTTAAAGATACAAAACTGCATCGCATCAGTGGGGTAGTGGTAACCTGGGTCGTTGCCACCTGTCGATTTCGTAAGTGAATTCGACCCGCCGGGGGTTCGATTCCCCCCTGATGCATAATTGCGAGGTGTTGCATGTTTTTTTTCGACTTTGTCGAATCGTGTTTTTGGTCAAATCCTTTGTTTGCTGGCTTGAGCGGTCTCAGGTTTAGACACCTTCTGCCGGCCGCTCGAGGCGTTGAAGGTTGAGTGAGCTCACTCCAGTTTCTGTTTCTTTGCTTCCTCAGTCACACCCACTGAACCTAGCCACCCAATAGTGGGAGCAAACTAGTACGTCTTGACTAGTATATCGGTTTAGTACAGCCGCTTGTCATAAAGGAAAGGAAATCAATAAGCTATACGCGGCAGAGCTGGGTTCGACTCCCAGGTCGAGAGTTCTTTTTTACATTTGTGCTTCTCTTCTCGGGATGAAATACTGTACCATTACGTTCAAATCGACAGTCACGCGTCACGCACCCCCCTGTCGATATCGAATTTTGGTCGTGGTCACGCGTCACGGAGGCCGGTGTCGAATAGGTCGAGCGGTTCGTCACGCAGCCGAAAAATCGCGCGAAAGTGCATGAAAAATCACTGCAACTCCCTGCCTTCGCTGAGTGTGCTTTAAACCTGCAACTCTAAAATTTGAGCATGTGGTTGGGTTTCCAGTTGGTTTCTGGCCAAATCAACCTAAAATGGGCTGTAAAAAAACCTCAAAATAAAATGACAATGAGGATTCAACAAGCTTTGCAAATCCTTTGTGCTATCCCAAGAAATTATCCTTCAACAGAATAATAAAATTTACCACTCATGTTGAATTTTTTCCCTTGTCACGCACCTTTCGGATGGCTGTCGAAATGTCGAATTCGTCGAACCAGTCACGCGTCACCCCCCCTGTCGATTTGAACGTAATGGTACAGTAGTTTACTTTTTTGGGTGGAGGAGGAGAAATAGCGGGTTGGGGGGCAACGAGGAGGTATAATGTGCACATTTCTGAACACCCGTGTGTTCAACTTGAAGTTCGGTTTGATGTACAGTTCAAAGCTTAAGCACCCATGGAAATGCCGTTTTGAAACAGGTGATCACATCACACTTTTGTGCCGCAACCCGAGTGAAATGATATTAAGTATTGTATTGCATGTCGCTGGGCATTGGCTGGGTATGAGGATAGGATAGGAGTTAAATGAGCCTGTGGGTGTCCTCTATTACCTTTGGTTTTTGGGCTACCCGGAAGGCTCAACATAAGAAGTTAAGAACTGGCAGTCACCCATCGATCTCGGTATCTGTGCCGCTATAATTTTTTTTGGCCAGGTAACTGCAGTAGTATAGGCAAAGATATATATATCATTCGATCATCAAATCGCAGCACCTTCCTTAAATCAAGGACCGGTGTTTGTTTATTGAGGTAAAGTCAAATTGCCAAGACGGTAGACCCAGTTTTGAACTTTCTTTCATCCCTCGCTAGAAACCCAATTAGTACACAAGTTCAAAGGGGCCCACAAACATCTTAGAGATTTCTGTTGATCAAAGACTTACTCGGGGGCTCATTGAACCCACACCCTGCCCTGTGACATAGTATGTTGAGCTCTAACATATTGGGGTCTCCCTTCCGGCGATTGATGCATTCTTCTAAGACCCATGCTCAGATTGTGTGTGTGTCCTCAGATCTGTAAGCAGGGAATACATAACTGCCCCGCAGGATCCTGAGCTCATTTATTTCTCCTAAAACTCACCAGATCGATCTTCCGCTATCAACTGGACTTTGAGATCCTCGGGCATCACGGTGTGTCACGGTGTGTCCATTGCGGTGGAGTTCAGATGGCCTTTTTTCAACCGAGTCCTATATACCTCCAACGCTCCCTGTTGCTCTGTATACTCGTTCTTCGACAGCTATCTGGAATCTTGCTCACCTAGCAAGATACCAAGACGAGAGGGAACCCAGACAATCCAGAAGGAGACTCAGACAAGGCCAAGTAGCAGTAAGACCCTCTTCTGGGGTGGGGAAGTCAAGAAGATAAAGAGGTACAGGGAGACGTCGTAGTACAGAAATAAGAGAGGTGAGGTGGCAGTGTGTGGCACCGAGGCCATAAGTAAACAGATGTAAGCAGCATGATTACACTATCTCACTTTCTGGCGCAGATGTTGTAAATTGTTATTGATGTCCTACAAATTGCCTCTTCCGATGAGTTCAAATGGTCAATTTTGAAGCTCACTTTGCTAATTTGTTAAATTCAGTGTAGGTCAGTCAATTGAGCAGTCTGAGCACTTTAACTAAAGCCCAGAAGCTCAGCCTAAGCTGGGCTTTGGCCATCATTTGTCAAAATAATGTGATCACTTGTTTCAAAAGCGTGGTGCTCCGGTATAAGAATCCCACGGTTGAAAAAAAATCTCGTACTGCAAATTAAGCCATCCCTCTCGTCCACCGCCAAGTCCACGCCCCCTATCGGCCTTAGTACATTTTTCTGGCCTACACTACATTTTTGTGGACACGAGGCTAGACAATGGTACTACCCACCTTCCCTGCCCCTCTCCATCCATCAAGCCCACATCACCACACGGCATCAGTGGGGTAGTGGTAACCTGGGTCGTTGCCACCTGTCGATTTCGTAAGTGAATTCGACCCGCCGGGGGTTCGATTCCCCCCTGATGCATACTTCTAATCCCTACAACCTTTTTTTCTCAACGTCTCATTCCGCCTTTGAGGTTTCTCCGTAGTTGTATATCCTTCTACCCTTTACTCCGAAGCCGCATAACACTCATTCATTGCAGACACTCAACAAACCCGGTTCCGCATTGAGATGCCTTTGTTTCAGACCTGAAATATCTCCCTCTTAGCTCAGTTGGTAGAGCGCGTCACTAGTAACCGGATACGAAATGACGAGGTCAGTCGTTCAAATCGGCTAGCGGGAATAGACCATGGTCATACAATTTTTGTTGTTTCATGACAATCATCTCTTGATTCGAGTGTCTAAATACCGGTGAAGTCGAAACTAGTCCGGGAATTTTCCCATTGGATCAGCATTTCCCGCGCCAATAGGAAAATTATTGGTTCAACTTCCAATAATTGTTGTAGGCCCGCCTGCCGCGGCAAAGCCCGCTATCTTAAGTTCAGCAACACCACTGACACCAGAGGTGTATTTTTACTTTTGACCACCGGAACATAATATGCCAGACATTTGTAACAAGCCAGCCCTGGTTCCACAATGTATCCCTGTCTTTCGGCTCGTCCCTTTTCCCTCTCTTGCATCACCTTGATGTTGTGGTGCCGGGCACCCTTCGCAAAACACGGGGTGCTCCGCCATGCTCTTTCTTCTTTTCTCGCATCCCCTTGACGTTGCGGTGCCGGGCACCCTTCGCTAAACACGGAGGAGGAGGAGGAGGGTGTATTACTGCAGAGGTCTCTATAAGGGGTGCTGTGCCGTGTCCTGCATCACTCCTGGCGAGCATACATTTCAGCCAGGCTGTCTAACATTTTGCAGGATCGATTGACGGCGGTGCTCGAATGTGGGTGAGGAGTTTACAGGGGTTTGAATTCTTCTTCCTCCTACCTCTCATCGAGGGTATTTTCTGTTGCCCACAGTCCCCGCATCCTATATTGCATGTTGTCCGGGGATATGTATAGCTACCATTTCCCTTATACATATCTTCTGTGAGGTTGTCGGTTCGCAGCTGGCAGCTGTCGCCTCGTTAAATATTGACTGCTCGCCATTTTTGAGTACGTCAAGTGATTTTTGATATTTCTCAAATCTGCATTTTAGGTTGCACACCGTTTCATACTAAGGCCCTCAGGGCACCTCCTGGTACCTGTGTTGGACTTGATATTATATTTCTGAGCCACAACTCAACAAGCTTTATCTTAGAGCTCACATCTCGCTCAGCTGGCTCGCCTTCATCTCGCCATGATCCAAAAGCCTGTGGGGGTCAGCAGCGGTCTCATCTGCTACCGCTGGCTTCCAGGCTGTAGGGCGATGGGGATATGCGAGAATGAACCCAAACAGTGTCGCCCAGACAAGGGCAGACCCAGAAGCCTGTGGCTAACCAAAAACAAAAGGCAGCATTGATGTCTTCCAAAGATTATAAGGACCACCCTTGCGTATGGTATGACTGGGTTTCGGACATTCATAATTTATTTTCGGCAAATTGAGAGGTACCGTAATCACCTGGAGGCCATAGTGACCATGGGGAATCCATCTTATAGGATACTAAAAGCTCAACAAATAAAATCACGGAAACGATGCCGGAAATGCATTGAGTGTTGAGAATTTACGAGTAGGTTGTTGATAATCTCAAGAACCGGCAGAGGCTCTTTGAAAGTTCACACAGGATTTGGGGGAACAGTAGGTATAATTCCTAAAACTTAAATTACAGGGTTGTGTGTAGCTACTTATATAGGTAGAGTGTGAGTCAATAATAGTCATTCTGACTCATAGAAGAGAACATAGTAGAATAAGTGAGAACATACGGGGATGTCCGAGTTGCCCGATATGCCCGAGGCGCACTGCTTCCGGGCCGTGGTTCAACACTCCCCTTCAAGTCGGATTCATCCCAGCTTCAGCAGAGAATTTATGGTGCTTTGGCCTAGGGAGTCCTTTGGTAAGTAGGTCTGCCACCATCTCATTAGTGGGGCAGTAAGTGACTTCAACAATACCTGATTCAACTTTCTCTCGGACAAAGTGATTTTGAACATCAAAATGTTTTGACCGTGCATGGAATTGTGGGTCTTGAGAGATCGCAATTGCAGATTGATTGTCACAGAAGATGAGGCTGGAGAGTGGTTGTTCCAGCCCTAATTCAGCAAAAAGGTTGCGAAGCCAAATAACTTGGCGAGTTCCGTGCGCTAAGGCGGCGTACTCGGCTTCAGTGCTGGAAAGTGCAACTGTGGTTTGCTTCTTGGAATTCCAGGAGATTGCACCTCCTGCCAGGAGGAAAATATATCCAGAGACTGATTTTCGGTCGTCAGGATTTGAGGCGTGGTCGGAGTCGGTGTATCCGAACAATTCGAACGGATCAAAGTCGTCGCTGATCTCTGTGAAGCCATAAGTGATCGCCAATTCACGGTGTCCGTTGAGATACCGGAGGATTCTCTTGATTGCACTCCAATGTGCTGGTCCAGGATTGCTTGTATACTGACTAACTCTGATAACTGAGAAGGCAATATCTGGCCTGGAGACTAAAGCAAGGTAAAGTAACGATCCGACAACGGCATCAAAGCCAGAATTAAGTCTGTCGTCTGACTTTACGTCGGCGGCACCTTCGTACTTGCACAATGTGACATTCGGGTCCATTGGCGTTGAGACGGGGTTCGATCTCTCTATGCCATACTGGCGAAGCATCCTGTCGATGTAACTGGCCTGAGAAATGGAGATGGTATGATTATCGCGGTCACGGTTGATTTCGAGTCCGATGAGAAGTTTCGGCTCGCCAAGGTCAGTGACGGTAAATTTCTGAGCTAATGCTTGCTTCAGTTCGTCCATTTCCGCAGGGTCTTCAGTTAGGAGGAGTAAATCGTCGACCCAGACTGTGATATAAGAGGTTTTACCCTCGATGGTGCGTGTATAAACACAATGATCAGCTTCGGTGTGCTGAAACCCAAATTCGGCAAGGGTCGCATTTAATTTGCGGTTCCACTCGCGGCCGGACTGTTTGAGTCCGTAGAGGGTCTTGTAGAGGCGACAAACGCGTCTACTTCCGTCGTCATAACCGTCTGGTTGACGCATGTAAATCTCTTCTTTGAGATCTCCATTGAGGTAAGCTCCTTTGATGTCGAGCTGTTGGATTTCCATATTCTTGATTGCTCCTATGGCTAGAATGGCGCGAAGGGAGTCAAGGCGAACGACTGGGGAGAAGGTGTCAACATAATCCATTCCAGGGATTTGTGAGTAACCTTGAGCTACAAGACGAGCTTTGAGTTTGGTGATATTTCCCAGGTTGTCGTATTTCTTGTCAAAGGTCCATCGGGAGCCTACGACTTTTCGTCCTGCAGGTAAGTCTTCGAGTTTCCAAGTACCCATTGCTTGTAATGTCTGATATTCGATCTCCATGGCCTTTTCCCAACCGTCCCGTTCCGGGGATAATTTTGCTTCCGACAGGTTTCGAGGTATGTCATCAACATTGGACTGTGAAGCTAACAAGCTGTAGTTTGCCTGTTCAAATGCGGCTTCAGAGACATCCTCGGTGATCTGTGATTGGTCTGTGGGTGCGTTGGAACGACGTGGACTATGTGCGGCGGGAAGGCGTGATTGTGGATTGCCAATTTGGCGGTAGTTGTGATCGGTGGTATCACGGGTGCTTCGGCGAAGAGGAATAGGATTTAATCCCTGAGGTGCGTATTGAGCCTGTTTAATTGGTGATAGAATCTCGGCTAATGGCTCCGTAGGTGACGGTGTTCGCGGTAGAGGAATACTATTTGCCGGTGGAATTGCAGGTGCGTGGGTTGGTTTAATTGGAGTCGGAGCGGCAGTCGATTGAATGGTAGCAGGCTGCTGATTTGTATTCTCTCGCTCCCCCCCAAGCGGCAGTCTGGTAGGTAAGTCCACTTCAATTTCCTTCGGTTCTGTTTCCGAGAAATCAAAATTCCGTGAGACTTTCACTTGCCTGCTTAATTTATCCCAGTATTTAACTGCTTTAGGTCCATCTGCATATCCAACAAAGATGTGTTTCTTCGATTTGGCCACAGTTTTCCCGGGTTTCTTACCCTCTGTGAGTATCCAAACCTCAGATCCAAATTCCCTCAAATGTGACATGTTCGGCTTGTTGCCGGTCCAGACTTCGTGCGGGGTCATCCCATTTAGAGCTCTGGTAGGTGAACGATTCCGAATGTATGCAGCGTGCATAACTGCTTCCGCCCATAGGAATGATGGTAAATTGCGAGCAATAAGCATCGCGCGGGTAAGTTCCATAAGGGTGCGGTTGAAACGTTCGGCAATGCCGTTCTGGGAGGGTGAATAGGGCGCGGTCGTTTGTAAGTCGATTCCTTTCTCTCTACACCATCGAATGAGTGCTTTATTGATATATTCTCCCCCGTTGTCCACACGAATAGCTTTCGGAGACGCTTTGAGGTGACGCTCGAGGTAGGCAACATAGTCTTGGACACATTGAGTTGCCTCTGACTTATGCTTCATAAAAAATACCGTACATCGGCGGGAGAATTCATCGGTGAAGGAGATATAATATTTGGCGTTGGAAATCACTAAGTGGCTGGGAATGGCCGCGACGCGTGCAGGTCCCCAGACGTCGGAATGGGTGAGTTCACCAGTTTCCGTGGTCTTGTCCTCGGATTCCTTGGGATAAGGTTGACGGTGCTGTTTAGCTTGAATGCAAGCTTCGCATTGGGTGAATGGTGGGCTGTTTGGAGATACAGTAAGTCCGCTAATTAATTTACCTTTCACAAGTTTTTCCAATGACGAAATTGACAGATGTCCGTACTTGCGATGAAGTGAGTTCCAGGTTTCGGTAGACTCACTGGATATATTAGCGTGATCCTCATCGCGAGGTTTCACATCTAGTATGTATAGTTTCCCTATCTTCTTGGCTGTGGCTAATCTTGTTCCTTTAGCATTTGTCAATGTACACCATCCATGGCGGAATCTGGCTTCGCCTCCGGCGTCATCGAGTTTGCTTATGGATAGAAGGCTATTGGCAGCCTCGGGTG